TCAAGGTTTCCAAGGTCCGATACATCTTCAATAAAGGTCTCCCAAGTGAATGCTTTCGTGTCCATTTCCCTGAAGTTGTCCACAGTTATTTGCCTCCTTAAACCAGTAAGACTTATTCAACACTTACCGTAAGTATCTTAACGAAACTTTCCGCCTGCTCAGCAGCCTTCATTATTGGAAATGTTTCAGAACTAAAGATACGCAAGTGTTGCACAAGTCGCACCCATCAACTTACCGGAATTGTGTACCAAATCATTTAAAATATGATGATCATCCTTCTTGCCTCACATATCTTTCAGTTAACACTTAGTGATAATACAGTAGGGTTTCCTCAGCAGTGAGAGTGAAACAAGGTGATGTTGATAGTGGTGGTGGTAGTACAAACAAGGCGCTGATAACATGGTGGTGACAACAAGAGCCATGAAGGGAGGCAGAGGATCTGCGTGTGGATGGTGCGATAAGGCTAGAGATAGTGGGTGAGTCACGTGTGGTTATAGGTCAGGCACGTGTGTGATACATCAGGCACGTGTGATGGTAGGCACGTGTGGTGATAGTGGGTCAGGCATGTGTGATAGTCAGGCACGGTGTGATGGTAGTGAGTCAGGCACGGTGTGATGGTAGTGAGTCAGGCACGGTGTGATGGTAGTGAGTCAGGCACGGTGTGGTGGTAGTGAGTCAGGCACGGTGTGGTGGTAGTGAGTCAGGCACGGTGTGGTGGTAGTGAGTCAGGCACGGTGTGGTGGTAGCGAGTCAGGCAGGGTGTGGTGGTAGCGAGTCAGGCAGGGTGTGGTGGTAGCGAGTCAGGCAGGGTGTGGTGGTAGCGAGTCAGGCAGGGTGTGGTGGTAGCGAGTCAGGCAGGGTGTGGTGGTAGCGAGTCAGGCAGGGTGTGGTGGTAGCGAGTCAGGCAGGGTGTGGTGGTAGCGAGTCAGGCAGGGTGTGGTGGTAGCGAGTCAGGCAGGGTGTGGTGGTAGCGAGTCAGGCAGGGTGTGGTGGTAGCGAGTCAGGCAGGGTGTGGTGTAGCGAGTCAGGCAGGGTGTGGTGGTACGAGTCAGGCAGGGTGTGGTGGTAGCGAGTCAGGCAGGGTGTGGTGGTAGCGAGTCAGGCAGGGTGTGGTGGTAGCGAGTCAGGCAGGGTGTGGTGTAGCGAGTCAGGCAGGGTGTGGTGGTAGCGAGTCAGGCAGGGTGTGGTGGTAGCGAGTCAGGCAGGGTGTGGTGGTAGCGAGTCAGGCAGGGGTGTGGTGGTAGCGAGTCAGGCAGGGTGTGGTGGTAGCGAGTCAGGCAGGGTGTGGTGGTAGCGAGTCAGGCACGGTTTGATGGTGCGAGTCAGGCGCGTGTTGATGGTAGTGGGCGAGTCAGGATGGATGGTGGTGTGTTGTATATTCTAAGACCTGGTTACCTACTACACAACAGTGGTTTCATGGTACCATAGATAGGTAACGGTGCGAGATGGTAAGGAAAGGAATGGAGTTGCTATCTGTGCATCTCTGCCGTCATAGTACCGAGTTCATTGTGGCTCACAACCTTCTTAATATTACGCATTTATTAGCTAGCTTCCATGGGGAAGTGGAACAGAATTCTTCCTCCGTAAGCCATGCGTGTCGTAAGAGACGACTAAAATGCCGGGAGCAAGGAGCTGGTAACCCCTTCTGTATACATTGTTAAATTTAGAAAGAGAGACTTTTTCTTCTTAGGTCACCCTGTCTCGGTGGGATATGGCCGCTTTGTTGATTTTTTTTTTTATCTTTATGGAATTTTGTGTACTTGAAATCTCAGTGAGCTTAATAAAAAAAAATCGGGAATTTTTTAAGGTATATGGATGAATGGGACTGAACACAAATCTCTCAAGGCTGAAGGACTGATCGCTGCGCATTACCTCTTCTCGACTGCCACTGTTTATTCTTCATATTGATTGATGAAGCCACTGGTTGGCGATACGTCTCCACAGTAATGGTAACAGAATGCTACATTCGTCTACTTGTCCTGGACTAGTTTAGTAAACCGTGGTTGTGTACCGTTGATCTAATGTGTACCGTTACTTAATTCTATCTGTTGTAACTTACAGTAAATATCTCTCTGTATCTGCAGACTCGTCATTCAGGCAGTGACTCGCTTTTACACTAACAGAGATTATTTTAACATCTGAAGAAGTTTCAAACAAATTAGTGCGTACCAGTATAGACAAATACAAGCCTCTCGGCGTATATACATTTGTACATGTGCCGGTGAGGCTTGAATGTACACTGATGCACATCAGTGCCTACGGTATACACTGATAAACTTTGGTGTATATACACTGGTGTGTATTGTATATGTGTATAATACACGTGTACCTATGTATATACACTGGTAACGTGTGTTATACTGAAGGTTGCTGTATAATTGTATTAATAATGTGCAATACAGACAGATTGGTGAATAAGACTCGTGCAACACTTCGGTATCTTTATTATCGAATCAAGATACTCGTGTGTTGCACATGTCTCGTTGACCAAGATTGGTGTATGTTTCAGTCATTGGTGGGCGCCATCAACATGACTCGCGAAATCGTAATGACACGATTGCAAACAAACGCGACGGTCTGGAGTTTTGAGACTCTGACCGCGGGTTCAAATCCCGCCCGTGGTATGGTTTGTGGGCGCCATGTTTGTTATGGTGAGTCAGGCGCAGGTTGCGGCCTCGTGATTGGCCCATGCTAGTGACGTCAATCGCGGCCACCCTGGGTGATTTACGCGCAATTTATTGACTGTATATATTTCTTTAAAGTTGTGGTTCATGACTGCTTCACAAACTTGATCTGAGATGTACTCTGTTATCCATGCCTCGGCTCATTTGAAAATAGCCTCGCTATAGTGTCCTGCCCTCCAGTATGTCATTCACAACAGTTCACTAATACCCAGGTACCTGTTTACTGCTTGATGAACTGGGGCAGTAGAACTTGGTACTTTAGAAGCACTACAAGAGACTGGTGTTAACCTCACATACTGATAACCCACCCTTGATAGACATTTGTTACTGTACCTCACATACAACCCACCCATGATGCCTTGCAATATTTTTACGTTCTTTGAGGCCTAAGATTTTTTTTTTTACGAAATTTATTTTTTTCACAGTGGCAGTAGTTACATTATCCCAGCAATGTCAGATGCCTCCCACAATGGTCGACTAACACTCGGTTACCTATTTACTCTTAAGTGGACAAGGGGGTAACAGGTGTAAACCGCCCTGCCCCACCTCCCCACTCGTCTCGTCAGGCTGAATTGTATGCATAATAAATGTGGCCAAAAAGCATTCACGTAATATTTAATTCACGTGTCGTAAGATAATATGTAGCTCAGTGCGTTCGGCCTGCAACTGAAGGGTACTAGGTTAGATTCTAGGACGGGGTAGCATGTATTCGCGAGTCATCGTAATCTCGCGACAATGGACAGATTTGGAGCTAGGATATAGGAAAGCACTGGCTTGGCAATAGAGTTGTGGAAGAAACTCCCGGGTAGCGTCATTGAGGCAAGAACTTTGGGTAGTTTAAAAAATGGTATAAACCTTGGTAATAAATACCGACAAGTTGGTTTAGAAAGACACGTAAGCAAACACTATAACATATTTATTAGAAAACGTTTCGGTCCTGGGACCTTGATCACGAAGTGATCAAGAAGTGATCAAGGTCCCAGGACCGAAACGTTTTCTAATAAATATGTTATAGTGTTTGCTTACGTGTCTTTCTAAACCAGTTTAAAAAATAAGTTGGACAGGTATAAAAGTGGATGTGAGTGAATGTGTGATTTTAACGTGTCTAGCATGGGCCAATAGGCCTACTGCTCAAGGGTGGGTCGTCAGCATAATCTGAGGGTAAGTAACACCTGTCTTATTAAACAGTTTAACATAAATTTTAATGATGAGACACGTTGTATAAAATAAATGTAATAGTAGCCAGCTTTAGCGAGTATACATTTGTAAAGACTTTGTATTATAATAGAACTGTGATGTAGTTGATATTACCTCCAGGTAAGAGGAAGCAGTAGCAACAGAAGTTAGGTCTCAGGCGAGCGAGTGTTGTAGCAAGGCAAGAGCAGTGTTTTCTAACTGATTTGTAGCAGGTGCCAAGACTGATAGTAGCAGTGTGCACGTACCTGCAACCGACGGTGTGAGTATGTTGCGTGCACATGGGTTCGTGTAATTTCCTACTTATAGAGCTCATAGTGTCCAATCTTTAGTAATACATGTATTTCACATATATTTTTAATTTCCAGTGGATATAGCATTTATTACGAGTCTGGCCCACTGTGAGGTTCCCAGAGAAGGGAAAACTCTGGAAACTTCTCAAAGGTATATCTTTTAATTTATTCTTGTGTTTGCCACGTAACTATGATTGTAACTATGATTTCTTGTCTCTGTTGCTAATGCTATTATGTCCTTTAGAACCTTATCTCTTCTCTTCTCAACTATTATCACCATCTTTAGTGGTGTGTGTACTGTGTAATAGTGGGTTAGAGATAAGGAAAGCCAGTGAGAGAGCAGGTTTAACTCCTCCCCGAGCCAGTTATATTTACAGGTTCAAACATAGGCAGTGACTCAGGCTGGCAGAGAAGAGGCAGGTGGAGTCCCCAAGATGCCACAAGATAAGTAGGTTAATTACCTAATACGTTATGAAGTTATTGGCTAATTGAGGTAGACAGTTACGAAACGTGTATACATAAACGGGCGAGGTAACCAGGCAAGATATAGACAGGTAGATAGGAGGTAGGTGAAGGGAGAGGCCTGTCATGGTGTAAGGGGCGTCTCAGGATGCCCCTTAGAGTATCCTTCAGGGGTTGTCATCGTAGAGGTTGTATATTGCCGAAGTGTGACGGTTCAATCAGTCAGTGTAAGCATTGTGTTATAGCTAGTTTGTTAGGTTCGAGTTCTGTCAGCTGCATTTTACTGTACACTAAATACAAGAATATTTCATTACTTAAAGCAGTGTATAAACTCCTCTCAGTGTGTATATATACTGAGAGAATCTTCTGGCTGTATGCATACTGATGCTGGTTTAAGCAAGTTATTCAGTGATAATGCTACAGACAAGTAAGGGTGTTAGTCTTGACTAAAACAAGAGTTACCTTCCTCCTAGTGACTGGCAGAATTTCCTCTGGGGTTACTTAATCTTCTTCCAGGGTGCGATCCGCAATAAGCGACTAGCATCCTTACTTTACTGCTAGGTGAACATGAGTAGTAGGCGTAAGGAAACATACCCAACATTTCACCCGTGCTACGGGAAGGAAGGAGCGGGCAACTCTAGTCCGGGTACTTAGTGTGTCAGGTGTTAGGTTATGAAGCGAGCCACGAGCACCACAGATGTGGATGATAATTATTAGAGCTTACAAAATTATATAGATACGAGTAATGCGCACTGTGAGAGCAGTTATTTTAGTTAACTTTTCGATTTAATTGTCGTGTATGTGCATAGTATAGTTTTACGTTGCGAGGTGGGTGTGATAAGTATAACACATTTGCAACACTATAGTATCTTCACTGTCGAAACGTGCGACTTGCTCAGAAGGCTTCTTCAGTTAAATACAGGCAATTATAACGTTGGATATAGAAGTAGAGAGGCAATATTGAGGTGATCAGATTAGAGGCACGTGGCCAGAGACTTGTATACTGGAGCTAGAAGTGTGGTGTAGCAGATGACATGTTTGTTGATATGGATAAGACGTTTATATAAGAATGCGCATGATATACGTATGGTTCTGTTTAATCAGTTCGTCAGTAATGGGATTAAACTAAAAAAATTCCCGATACAGATACTCAAGTTCAAGCCGATAACCATACCATCAAAGTTACCCGCTATTCGGGGGCCCGGTGGCCTGGTGGCTAAAGCTCCCGCTTCACACACGGAGGGCCCGGGTTCGATTCCCGCCGGGTGGAAACATTCGACACGTTTCCTTACACCTGTTGTCCTGTTCACCTAGCAGCAAATAGGTACCTGGGTGTTAGTCGACTGGTGTGGGTCGCATCCTGGGGGACAAGATTAAGGACCCCAATGGAAATAAGTTAGACAGTCCTCGATGACGCACTGACTTTCTTGGGTTATCCTGGGTGGCTAACCCTCCGGGGTTAAAAATCCGAACGAAATCTTATCTTATCTTATCAATTACCCATCAGAATTATCTGCTGTCAATCGATACCATCAAACTCGGTCGATACAGTACTCAGTTTTAGATTGATACCGTCAGAATTAACCGTTACGCACAGATATCGATACTAATACTTCGGCACACTCGAAGCGTTCATCGGGTGAATATGCTGAGTGATGTGCTGAAGCGAGGGAGAGAGGCGGGGGAAACTGTAGTGGAGAACAGCGTAGAACAATGAAATTTAGTAAAGAAATATAAGAAAATGAAGGAGGAAGGGGGAAAAAATAAGTGCGAGCAAGAGGAGGAAGTCTTAGGAGCCGGACGGATTAGTCAAAGGATGGGTGTTGCAAGAAAGTTTTTATTAATTTTTATTAAGTGTAATTAGTTACATGAGCAGTGTGCGGCTACCTCACACTGTTAGTTGCTTACACAGTGGGAGCAAAGGCTAGCTTTTACCTCTGTCATAAACCACTATACAAAGAGGATTTATTTCACAAAACAATGAAATCTGTCAGACTGAGCTGGGAGATTTCAGTAGGACAAAGAACATCATCAAGCATTCCAAAATAGATGGGTTCAGTAGCTGTTGGTGTATACTGAAAGTGAGGTGGTACACCGACAGGTGTACAAGACATCTTTATTCATAGTGTTTCATCTTGATAACATTTACTCGGGGGTAAAACGCTGTACCAATAACACTGCATTGCGTATTTACCAGCAGCTGTTGAGTTGTAGGGAAGATGGAAGAATGATGGTCGTACATGGTGAAGGTCGGCCAGTAATCCTGGAGGTCTGCCTCACTTCCTGGGTGAGAGAGTCCATTGCAGGTGGCGGAGGACCTGTCCTTCTCTCATGGTCTCAGTACATGCTGACGCTGTCCTGTCTCAGCCAGCTACATTCACTTCAGCTGTGTCTGAAGGCTTTAACGTTCATGGCCGTGTGCTTGCGTTCGATTTCACTCGCAGTTGTGTGGAAGTCGTATGGAATGTGTAATTACCTTTGCAAGATAAGTATAGCCTAGTTGAGAATAAGAAATGAATACTGGGCTTCTGCATTATAAACTTAACTGTCATCCTAATGGCACTAAAGGTAACTTATGACAATGAGGTTGACTTTCACAGTGATTCTTCAACATACTCCCTGGAAATGCCAGATATAGATACATAAATATTAGAGAGGATTGGTACATTCTTATGATTTCAATCTCACATTCACTTATTCCTATACGATAAAGTTAATTAGCCAAAGAAAATACTTCAAAATAGAATTGATGTGTGTGTCGGCTGTTAAAAATATTTGGAACATTAAATAATTAATTTGAATGCTAGGAATGCGGTTAGAAGAACATTTACGGACAATATTGTACTGTAACTAGATTGCCTGATCTAGTAGCCAGGCTTTTGCTTAGTTACAAGTGCATTTGTCGATCATACTAAATGTAAAGTATTCAGTCAGCCTTATAGTTGGTTAATACTAAGCTTGAATGTTCACTTACAGAGAGCTAGGCAGAACCGTACAGTAGAGAAAGGTATCATATTAATATATAAATAACATATAAGACAGACTGAACCATTATCCAAAATTTACTTGTATTTATCGAATGAACGATTGTGTGAATGACTTTCTTTTTGGGGCTGATTTTATCGTGTTTGTGTTGGGATGGGGAGTTAGCAAGCACCCACTCACTTAGGTATGTTTGCGGGGGTTGGGTCAAGGCTCCTAGCCCGGCCTCTTGCTGTATTTGAGCTTCCCCGATTTCTGACCTCCAGCTCTTAATCATATTTGCTCTTGAAGCGCACTGGCAAGTATAGAAGTTTCCATTGTATAGACAGAAAAATCTTGTGGTCTTGGCGCTTTGTAATTTTTTTTTTAGAGACCTCGTTTAATAAATTTATGTAAATTGTTTGTGTCAATTACCATTTTGTAAATATTTTGATAGCCCCTTTTGGGACTGGGTCCTTTGTCATGTGGATTCGATTACGTGGATGGGGTAAAAATACTCACGTAGGCTGGTAGTACGTATAATATATAACGGGAAGAATGGGAAGCACCATCAGCCGACCTGCCTCTCTGCTCCCTATCTTAGACTGACCCACCAGTGCCTACAGGGTGAGCGGTGTTTGAAATCATGCTATGGTCAGCAGCAACGTGAATAACAGTCAGTGATTCACACAGCTGGTTGGTAATGAGTCATCTACTGGTACACTGGTTACTGATAACTGGTTAATAGGAACTGGTACTACTACTGAGAGCTCGGCGACGCTAACGTATGTTGTCCCGACATACAACTAATACAAACTAGAGACGGCAGGTGTACTGCTTGGGCTGATTCTATACAATGTCAAAGTACACAACAATTGAACATTATAACATACAGAAGTAGAATATTGGAATGGAAGCTTACGTAACTGAAACTGTAATGCAATACAAGGTATAATATAGCACAACTCATTGAATGAAACTCAACGTTGGGATTACACAATAGAAGTGATAAAAAAAATTTGATCGATCGATCTGTATTCATGTGATCTACGGATCCTGAGGAAGAAATATATACAAAGAAAGAAGTGTTTAATTAACAGAAAGGCAGATTTGGTGCACTCAAATCTAGACTGTTAACTCTCAGAATTCGGAGAGAACGTGAATACACACACACAAAAAATTCTTGAATTCTGATAAGTTGATACTGTAATTATTCATCTATACAGGTTATTTACATTTAACCCCAACTCTGCTAGGGTGAGATTGACATATGCAGAATGGGTGTCATCTCTGGGAGGATCAAACTCTGTTGCACTGGCTAACTCATGCTGTATTTGAGGCAAATCTGAATTGGTAGTTACAAATGATACTTGAGGATTTCTCGATACCTGTCGTGTACATAGGGAATAACGACATTCAAGTTGATCGTCTGACTATCAGAGTTAGAGAGTACAGGATCAGGAGGATTGTCAGTCTGTCACATTAGTCTGGGTTGGAACATCATTATCATCACATACTAACTTCATATGATCTAAATGCGATTCTTTATACTGACCAGTACTAATTTCTCTAACCTTATACTTATTACCAGTGATATGTTCAACTACTCGATAAGGACCAACAAACTTTTGATCAAGCTTTGGCATTGCAGACGTTTTGTTAAAGTTAGTCAGCATAACTCTCGAACCTACTTTGATTTTGGATGGCTTTGCTCGAGTGTTAGCGACTCTTGTAAATTCTGCTGTTGATTTATGAAGTGTTTCACGGATTCTTCTAAAAACACTTTGAGCTAAGCTGGTATGAGTTGCTATGAAATCATCAGGGTTGTAATTTGGTTTTGGGTTAGAATATAACAACTCATAAGGCAAACGTTTATCTACACCGTACAATGCATAATGTGGAGTGTCACCTATAGAAACATTGTAAGCAGAATTTATAGCACACTGCACATCAGGTATAACTTCATCCCAAGTTTCACTGTTGGGGATTGATAGTGGCTCTCAAGACATCAAGTACTTTCTTATTGGTTCGTTCCGCTAACCCATTGCTGGCAGGATGATGAGGAACAATGATGGATTTAGAGATCTTGTACAAGGTACACAAATTTTCGAGAATCTCATTACAGAATTCACCACCATTATCTGTTACTAGGGACTTAGGGGTGGTATGCCTGCAGATAATGCGTTCTTGAAACGCTTTAGCTACTGTCTCGGCAGTCTTATCTGCAATAGGAACTAACTCACAATATCTGGTGAAATGGTTCTACCATAACACACAGATGTTTGTTGCCCTGGAGGGAACATTGGAAATTAGTTAACAAATCTAGCGCAACTCTTTCCCACGGTTCGCTAGTAGTTGGATACACTTGGATTGGATTAGGACCATTAGCATTACCTTTATGTTGCATGCAGACACTACATTTCTTAACATACTCAGAAATATCAGCTGCCATACGCGGCCAAAAGTATTTCAATCTGGCTTGTTTTACTGAACGATCCATACCAGGGTGCGCAACACCTGGTACATCGTGAACTAGCTGTAAGGCTACATTCACTAGTGACTGGAATTACTAACTGGTATACTCTTCTGCTAGGAGTGCCCAACTCGGCTGTTCGATACAGTAATTCTTGGTTCATGACAGTCACTGATGGGTGCTGGTGGCTTCACAGTCAGAATAAGATCTTCCTGGAGCAGGAATCGATTCACACCAGACCACATGGGATCTGCTCGTTGAACATTCTTTACATCTTCGGCAGTAAATGGAGGGTCTGCAGTTACTATACTAACATGTCGCGATAAGGCATCTGCGACTACATTTGACTTGCCAGGTAAGTGTTCAAAAGTGGGATTGAACTCTTGGATAGTCAAGGTCCATCTGGCTAACCTTCCAGTAGGTTGTTTGCTCTGGAATAAAGGTATCAGTAGAGCATGGACTGTCAAGACATGAACAGAGTACTGATAAATAATGTCTCAGAAGTGCTTTAAAGACCATACTATTGCTAAAGCTTCTTGCTCAGTTACTGTATGATTACATTCAGCCTTTGTAAGGACTCGGCTAGCAAATGCAACTGCGTTGTACTTGCCATCAGTCTTCTGAGCTAGTACAGCACCTATGCCAATAGAACTAGCATCAGTTGTCAGATAGAAGGGCTTAGAAAAATCTGGAAATTTCAAAATTGGAGCAGATGTTAGCTTTTCTTTTAAAGTTTGGAATGCTCTTTCTTGACGGAAGGTCCAAACAAAAGGAGCATCTTTCTTAAGCAACTCAGTTAGAGGAGCAGCTATGGAAGAAAAATTGGCAATGAAAGATCTATAAAAACCTGCTAAGCCCACAAAGGATCTTACGGCATCAGCAGTTTTGGGAGTTGGAAAATTTAGTACTGCAGTTACTTTGCTTTGGTCAGTCGTAACCCCTCTAGGAGTGACTACGTGACCAAGAAACTTCATTTCTGATCTGAAAAACTGACATTTAGACAGTTTGATCTTTAAATTGGCTTCAAGCTTACCAAGTACATCAAGTCTTTTCAAGTGTATCCACGTCTTTAGACATGACGATTATGTCATCTAAGTACACCATAAGTGCATTACCTATGAGACCTCTAAAGATATTAGTCATGAGCCTTGAGAACGTGATAGGGGAGGATCGTAATCCAAATGCCATACGGAGGAAGTGATAATGACCTGTAGGAGTGGAGAATGCAGTTAGCTCTTGGCTGTCCTCGTGAAGACGGACTTGCCAAAACCCTTGTAACAAATTCAGGGTTGAAGAGACTTTATCTCCAATGTTACGTAAAAGATCACCCAGTACAGGAAGTGGGAAGCGATCTGGAATAGTTTTCGCATTTAACTCCTAAAGTCAATCACTGGGCGCCAAGTACCATCCTTCTTAGGCACTAGGATCAAGGGCGCATTCCAAGGTGAATTGCTAGGTGCTATAACTCCATCATCAAGCATTTGATTGATCAATTCTTCTGCGACAGCAACTTGTGAATGAGGCATTCTGTACGCAGGTATATAGATGGGTCTAGTACCAGGTTCAAGTGGAATACGATGGGACAATAAGTTCGTTATACCCATCTTCTCACCTTGTAAGGCAATGGCTTTACGACGTTTGTTCAACAGAGTCAACAAACGCTTGACCTCATCTGGGAAGTCAGTGGGAGCTAAGTCTTTCTCCTCAACTGGTGGAACAGATTGATCCAGTGAAGTGGATGAGGTCTCCCCAGTAGAAATAGCACCGACCCACTGGTCAGGGGACAACTCATCCTCTACCTGAACAGGGTAAGGATAGTGAACAAGGTCAACAAGATTGGTATTTGCTCTGAGACGAACACTGACCAGAAGTGTTAGCTAGGAAGAAATGGATCTTACTATCTCTTACAACATGTAAGGATGGTTCAACAAATAGACCTTTTACTTTGCAAGAATCACTGTCAACTAGGACATTATCACCATCTGGAACACTAGGAACAACAACAGACACTCTAGTGAGGGCACTAGCTGCGACAGGAACATCTTTCTGCAGATGGCATGTGACATCAACAAGAGATGGCATTACTAGTTGCAAGTAATCGTTTTCCGACAAGGCGTCCCCTGTGGAGAAACTACTACTTGAACTAGCAGACATTGCAGGGATAGGCTCAGCACTCAAGGTAGTC